CGAAGCTCCCCCCCCCCCCCAATACTTTTTGCTGGATCCGCCACTGAAAAAAATCATTTGATGGTTTACCCTGAGACGTATGGTTTTTGTTATTGGACGTGGTATAGGTGTGGCCAGATGACTACGGAGGAAGGAGTGTCAATATCTCGGTGCAGACAGTATTATACGTGAGCGCCAGCCAAATTATAAGTACATAGATAACTTACCAAGCATGAGTGGCTGAATTATTTACTACATTGGTGGAATACGTTGACAGTTGAAATAAAGTGATTGAAGTTACGAGATGGGGCAAGAAAAATATGAATATCATAACCCGCTGAAAGTCATTATTTTTTCGGCTAATATTTTATTGCAAGCAAAATTTCGTGCATTTTATGCATTTTTCTAAAATGGTTTTGATAATTTTGTTAATCTCGCGAAAACAGTGACATGCTCAGTAGATGCAAAAACTGTAGAGAATTTACCTCAGCCTATATTTTTGGTTGTCTCCTTCACTGTCTGAAAGCCAATCAACGATATTGCACGGTTGAGAATCGCCGGAATTAAGTTTCAAGGATATGCAAATGAACTAGAACTTCCTTGGCAAAAACTTTATATGTCGTAATTCAAGTTCACCCTAGCTAGATCATGGTGTATAGACATATTATTGAGACGGTTACAAATCAACATGCATACGATGGTCTACTACACACCCGCACCAATATACAATATTTCAATATATTCTTAATCTCCCCCAAATGTAGGCCTTGGTGCATGGGGACAGCTGTGGCAGAAATTCGGAAGACAGTTGCCTCAAAACGACCACTGTAACTATGCCACTGGAAAGACGATCAAAGACATTCTTGACAAGAATAAACTAAATTACGAAAAAATTGAACTGCCATCGTACTTCCAAATCGACGATTGTTTCCGAGAAACGTCGAATGTCGGTTCATTACTAGTGGATTTTATCACTGAAGTTGAGTATTTCATGGAAACTGCGCCACGTGATCTCAAGGTGAACATCATGCAAGAATTACGAAGTGACAAGTGTTCGTATAAAAATAATAAGAAGATATATTTTAAAAACGATCTTGTTGCGTTCGTGATTCAAAAACCAACTTGCTAAATATGATCATTTAGGTAGTCCTGACATCACCTGACTTTTTTACGTCGGCATTGTGATGATATTGCAAACCAGAAAGGTAAACGATATATTTCGTAACTTAGTAACACCGGTACCTAATTTTTGGAATGCGCTTACTATAACCTTAATAAGTACTATATTCTCTAGTGATGGTGCGCCCCCTGTGGTGGGAAAAATTACAAAATTCGAATAATCACGAAAGAAATAAAAAGATAAAACATATTAAGTGATATGTGAATGGTTGGTAATTGTGTGTGACATATTCTACTAAAATTGACCTCTCTCAGGCTTTCAAATTGGTTATGCCAGTTTACGCCGCCTACGACGAAGAACTTATAGCATAATAATAAAATGAACTTCATTGGAATTCGTTGCACTCTAGGTTTAGTCATATTGTTGTCGCTTTGCTATATTTTTTTTATATCTTTGTGTAGTCTATAGATAAGAGATGTTCAAAATTGGCATAAACTGTGTGCGTGTTTGTGGTCGGGTGAAAATGTCGATATCTGCCTATTTACTCTTATCACAGCGCTGAAGGCGCATTTCTTAGTTTTTGTTTTGTTCTTGTGTGTAATGAGATTATTTAATTTCTCATTCACGGCAACGTGCTCATCATTCCAACATTCGCTCCATGGAAGTGATTGTTTGTTAGACGGTTTACGCCAATAGTTTACTTTATAGATGAGTTGCCATGGTGACGGGAAGAGCAATTTATATGTTGCGGTGTGATACATGTCATTGTTAACCCAAATTGTAGTGCTCACATGTAACAATCTTGTTATTGTGTATTGTATTGTAATGTTACTAATTACGAAATACAATAAGGGGTAAATTGTCAGAATAATCGTTTTATCAATATCGATGAGTAGATCTTTGCAGTCGGTGCGCAGGTCAAATAAGTTGATATCTGCACTAATACGTGTGTACATATGTCGCTATAATCCCGCTCACGCGTTCCTGGTCACGTCATAGTTTCTGTATAGGAATGTTCGTATCACAATGGGTTCGTCGTACAGTGACTTCCATGACGTCTATTCATACATGCACAGGCCCGATGTTCGCGGAATTACATGATAGTATCGCTTTCGGTTCCTTTATTTTGAGCTGCTGCGATTTATCGGCGTGTTTCTGCCAGGGTACGCTGTTGTGTCATAGGATGATGATAGACATTCATGTGCAAGCTGCCGGCACGTGTTTTAAGTCCAGTTGAATTAGCGGGGTATAGTGTTACCATGGATGTACTAAGGATGTTCTTAGTACATCCATGGTGTTACAATTCGCCCGTGTTTAATCACATAGCCAGAACATACTAGTTTATTTTCAATTCATTGTAGTAGTACAGTGGATAGCTCACCGATGAGGCTGTGTGTTCGTGGCAAAATGTCTGGCCACGCCACTAAATACAGTGGTATTACGTTTGACCGATGTATGCCAGTCTCACCTAATATAATTGATTATTGCGCGCGTACGCGTGCGCAGTGACTGGTTGACGAAAAGCGGTCGTTCGCACCTGAAAATAAAACAAAGGCGTTATTCGCTGCTTCTGTTACTAAATATTCGTGTGTGCGTTCCTGCCAATGCATGCTGGTTGGCAAAAATGTAAACATATGACGTCATATTGGGACGGCCTACTAGTATAATGCTCTTTTCGGTACATACTGGGCGCCAAATATTTTCGCGCCAATTCAGTTATCCGCGAAGTTTGTATGGGTCGCGGTAGTCTTCTTATCAAGATGGTATACATAATGGTTGATTCAGATATAGTGAAAATGACACGTACTCGAATGGTCACATGCAAAAGTTATTGTTGACGATGAGATTGAAGGCGTTCCAATTTCGGGATATTTCTCAATGTGCTGCTTACAATCACCAAATCTAATTAAAATCCGATGTCAGTAGAAGCTCCTGCCACTTTTAAATCCAGTTGGGTAACTATAACGGCTAGCTAATTATTTATGCAAGTTACATTCGAGCAGCTTCCCATTGGCGTATTTACCATCAGTGACGGCGGCACGGGGGGGGGGGGCAGTTGGGGTGGACGCCCAAAAAATGCGAGACCAGGTGGTGAGCAGACCCCCCATGCAAAAATTCGTGCCGCCGCCTCTGACCATCGGGCGTGTGACACGAGTTCGGATTGGTTTCTGCTCTTGGAAGATCTGAACGCGACTCACATATGTAGTTGCTCAGATTACTTAGTCTAGTGGAAGCGACTGATAATCTCTACTTACCTAGATTCTTAACCAGAATGATATTTACCAATAATTGCACCGAATGGGATATTCATATTGTGCAACACACTTCAGCGACAGTTTGCAAAAAAACACGGTAGAACAGGATATTTATGTATTTATTTATTTATTTATTTATTTATTTATTTATTTATTTATTTATTTATTTATTTATTTATTTATTTATTTATTTATTTATTTATTTATTATGTAAATTAGTACTGCAATCTTTTACTTTATTAACGTCACCTTGTGAGCAATTTGATTGAGAATAAATTAAGATAACCCGGTTCCATGCCTGTCGGGAATACAGTCAGATAAATTTAGAACAAAATAATCAAATATATACCAATATCTAAATCTGTGTGATTGACACGTATCTCAACATGCCATACGTCAACCTCCGAATAAAGAACACTATATTCACACACCGTGACGATCCCGTCATATATATAACCGGATTACGGGATACTAAGCTGAAATAAAACGCATTCGAAGAAGTGTCAATCCTGGTAGTTACAGACCACACACTATTCATTTAGTGTTCACTGTACACACTGGCAATTTATCTTGGCGGGGATTACATCTGTGCGTCACTGCGTGATCGGAGTACAATAGTTTATTTCGGGCAGTAATGAATAATATGATAATTTCACAGGACGCGATCACAGTCGCCTAGTAAGTGCAATGTTCCATAACAGTACTCCACGTTGATTCAATTCTTTTCTCAACATAAAACAGTGTTTGCAGTCGTAGCTTTCACATACACATGAAACTCGACGCTGTGAATAGACTTCTACATGGAGTTCTACGGGTATTTTCATTTCAGCAGCGCTACTACACTGGGTGCTAACAATTCGCAGAATTCTCTGAGTAGCGCCCTCTATTGACGAAGCGTTCCAGTGACGTAAATTCGCGACAGGAACGCAGTTCAAAGAATGATTCGTAGTCGTCTATAAATAGCTTCTTTTCTTATATTCTAAATGACGAACGACTACACATCCATATCTACGTAATTTTGACGTCATGTCAACTCTTCATTGCTAGAAGGGGCGGGTGACTTGTAAGGGAGGTGTTCAGACAATCAGATGCAAACGTCATTGTTGATGACGCATTTTCAATGTGACAGTTTATAGAATTACTAACTGTTACTATAATAGTGTCTTTACGGTGAACATGAATCGGAGGTTAATGTAACCAGCCGCAGTGCACCACCATCATGAATCGTTTAACAAATACACATTATAGTTCGGACATACATACGAAACATTATTCACGAAGGTACCCACAAGTACATCCCATAATTATTACATATTGCATTGGCTACATTGTATATAATTGTTACGTTTTGATTGTGATTAAATCCGTCATTCAAATAACGTGTCTGCTTTCGTGTCTGCCAAGTATTGGGACAAGAAACGATGATCCCTGTCACCATAGAATCACATAACCATGTCTTTACAAACACACACTCAGCTCGTGTCCCCCATTAACCTGCTGTGACAATCTAGAATCAGACAATCAGTGTTGATGGCCATGCGTCAAGATAATTAATATTAACCGTCCTTTTTTCGAACACTGTATGGTAAGTACGTTATTTATAACGATGCTGTGTTATGAAGGGCCATTGACATGCTTTCGACGAACATAATTGAAAGTTATTTTACTCCGTCTGTTACTGCCAGGCGTTTCTGATATGCTCTATGTAATTCCAAATACTGTTTAACCACACATTGAGTACGAGTGTATCCGTTCTCTTAAACTTATGGATTGTTTTTTCAGGTATTTTGAAGTACGTTCATGGAAGAAATTGCCATAAGTTAATTCTATCGAGTAAAGGCAAAATATGTAGTTGTGTAAGTATTATCAGTGAACAGGTCTGCGTAGACACTTGCAGTTTCTGATAGCTCGCCTCGACGCCTCGGCACAAGTCAAGTTGCTGTCATTGTGCATAGCTAACCAATATACCCTCAATCGCCGTAGACGGCGTCCTCTTGTAAACTGTTTCCACGACACTTTACAACTGATAGGACGTACTTGTCACAGTTCTGTCTCGTTCATATCTCGCGACAAGTTCACCATCGATGCACATTTTTGAAATTGGTCCTCTGAGGTTCTAGTCTGGTTGTCCGGACTTTCATATGGTTCATTATTATTGGTGACAATTACTACTGGCGTGCACACTGGCGTTGGTGTAGCTGTGTGATCGATCATCAGGCTTTCGGATGAACAAGGCTTCCAGTGTCTTGAGAGAGACGAAAACAAAACAGAACTAAACTCATAAATCTGACAAAGGTTAACTAACAATATTTGGTAGACTTAAAATAAATACTAAAAATCAAACCGGCTTTCGGTTAAATAATCCCTCTTATTGAGAAATTATGTACATGTATATTGAAGTAGGTAAAGAT